TAACTTGGTGAAACCACATAACAATAATAAGCTAGTATTGACCAAAAGATAGAGATTGAGAAGCCAATATTAATAGGATTCTCTCTCTCTCTCTCTCTCTCTCTCTATATATATATATATATATACACACACACACAAACACCGCACTAGACTTCTCTGTGTGTGTAGGGGGAGAGAATTGCATGGAGAGATGAAAGAGGTAACGGAGGCAGTTGATGAAATATATATAGTGGTGTTTCTGATAAATATATATGCAGCAGTTTCTGCATTTATCTTCTACGAAGGCACTGCACCTATATGAGCTTCTAAAGCGTTTGTCGTGTTAATAAATAATGTAACAATTATTTCCAGATCTCAATATTGTTTTATTCTATTTTCCAATAAAAAAATTAAAAAAATTAGGAATATTTTTTTGGATACTTTTAAGAAATAAATTTAAAAATAAATTTAATTAATTAATTAAATTAATAAGAATTAAAAATAGACTTCTGTTATTATTAATTTGTTAATATATTAATTTAATCAATTAATTAAAATAATTTCTTTAACTATTTTTAAAGCATTAAAAATATATTTTAAATATTTTAATTTCTTTTATTATAAAATAGTAAGAAATTAAATGTTTAAAATAAATAGAGAACATTAGATACACTTAACAAATGACAAAATTCTAAGTGCAAATCACCAATCAAATTAAATAAATGCATTTATAATATAATTCAACAATTAAAACTTATTGTTATATATTATCAATGAAAAACAAAGTAATATATATATATATATATTAAAATATATATATATATACTAATATTAAACACAACTATGTAGTATTTTTATAAAAAAAAAAACTAGAACTAAGGATTTTAAGGCAATGATGACTTAGGAGAAAAGAAAAGAGAGGAAGGCATAGATAAGTATCAAAGATTATTTCTTTGAGAAGTAAATATGTTTCATTATGTAAAAATGATGGCGGTGCAGTGCAGTGGGGAATCCTGCAAACATGGTGATATCTAGGGAAGTGAGTTGACTCGTGCATCAAGGCTCTCTCAATCCTCAATTCAAGCTTTTCTCATCTTTCTTGGTTTGCAAAAAAGATAAAACTGTTCTCTCTCTCTCTCTCTTCTCTCTCTCTCTCTGTATATATATATAAACAGACATGTATACACGCATACATTACTAATACAATATCTATATATATATATATGTACTCCCAGTAAATGAATATCACATACGTGGATTCAATACCCATGCATTTTATATATATATATATATATATATATTTTTAAATGGGTATATAGATACAAATAAAATACTGATGTATGGCTCAGTTACTATATATGAATGTGGGATCTTTTGGTTCATTTGTGTGATCAAATTTTTGATTATGATATTATGAATATATAGAAGTGTGCATGTGAATGTCATTTCCGGTGCAAAGATTAAAACTCATAACAAGCTAGATTTGCACAAAAATCTTGGTTCATGCACTCTGGATATTTGTTTTTTCTTCTTACCAAAAGCCCCTTTTTACGTAAACTT